GATCAGGCTTGATTCCCACAACTCCTCCTCCCTTTCCTCAAACCCCTAACTTCACTGGACCTGTTCTTACCTCCTGCATTCCCTGCTACACTGAGGGCTGCCCTCCTCCTCTGCCCATCCGTGCTCCAACCCATCCTCTCCTCATCCTTGGGAATCTCCCTCTTTACTGTGATGGCATCTGGAAAGATGCTCAGATGTGCTGCTCATGTAGGATAAGGCAGAAAAGCAAGGCCCAGAGAGCCTAAGTGCAGCTCTTTGGACTGATACCGGACCCTAACCACCCTGAACAAGGAAGTTGCCAGCAAGTGACCAGCCGGGACCACTGAGGATGCCTTACAGACTGTCTGCGTTTACCTTTCTGTGACAGCAATGATTAACCATTATGGCCTGATCTCAATACAATGCTGGTAACATACGGGTTTTCAAACATTTAAAAATGTTAGCATTTCCCTGCTTGGGGAAGGACCCCTACTCTGTCTGTATAGTAGGATCTGTTGTCTGTCTTTGTCTTAATGAAACTAGTTGGCTTGCTCTTGAATTCATTCCCTCGTGAAGCCAAGAACCCACTTGCTGAGTTCAGGGGGCTTTCCTCCCTTCATTGGGACACCTGCTGCATCACTGCCAAGGTCTCCTTCAAGACTTGCATGATGTGAATATGAACTGAAGTTCCATGCAGAAAAAACAAACCCAGTTTCTCCTACTATGTTCTCACAACAGGTTGAGGGCTCAGCCCCACAAGATCACCCCCACTCCCCATGCTGGTTGCAAGCCAAGTTATTTTGTCAGTGCTTCTGGCTGACCAGCTATAAATCAGGGTTCCCACAACCCCTCCTTGGCTTTAATTAATTTGCTAAAGTGGCTCATAGAACTCAGAACACAACTGTTCACAAAGGATATTACAAGGCATACAGATGAAGAGATGCGTGGGGTGGGGTATGGGGGAATGGGCACAGAGCGTCCATGTCCTTCCTAGGTGGGCCATCCTCCAGAAACCTCTGCCTATTCAGCTATCTGGAAGCTCCTCAACCCTGGCCTTTTGGTTTTTATGGAGGCTTCATTGCAGAGGCATGATTGTTTAAACCACTGGCCACTGGCAATCACCAGAAGTTGGGGAATGGGGCTGCAAGTCCAACCTCTAATCTTGCCTTGGTCTTTCTGGTGACCAGACCCCATCCTGGAGCTACCTAGGGGCTGCCAGCCACCAGTCAACTCATTATCATACAAAAGACACTCTAACTACTTTGAAGAATCCAAAGATTTTAGGAGTTGTATGCCTGGAGATGGGATGAAGACCAAATACTGTATATATTTCACAATATCACAGGTTCCTCATTAGTCATTCAGAAAATGTAAATTAAAACCACAAAGAGATATCACTACATACCTCTTAGAATGGTTAAAATGAAAATGACTGACCATACCAAGTAGGTGATGTGGTCCTTGCTGTTTGACAAAGATGTGATGGACCCGGAACGCTCATATACTTCTCCTGGGAATGTACAATGGTAAAATCACTATGGAAAATAGTTTGTCAAGTTCTTAAAAAGTTAAACATACAACCATCATATGATACAGCCAATATTCCTAGGTATTTATCTACGAGAAATGAAAGCATATGTCCATACCCAGACTTACTTGTATACATGTTCACAGCAACATTATTGTGTTAAATAAAAATTATAGGAGGCCATTGTTTTGTACTAAGCTTCTGCACTAGACACCAACAGACCAGACTAAAATCAAATGGAAGCACCCATGTTAAAATTCCCTGTCACCAAACCCAAACTAAGTTGTCATCTGATCCACCAATAAATCAGGAGAGAGATAACAGCCAATTTCCCAAACAGGACAGTTTCAATCTTCAATGGCATGATAATAACATTCCCTCTGCTTTAATCCTGATGCCAATTAATCAATTATTTTCTATTGTTCTGTCTCCCTGTACCTACCTTATAAGATAGTACCTTTAAAATGACTAATACGTTCTTTGTTCTTCACTTGAGCTCTCTTTGTTCAGAAAGCCAAACTCCTCTGCTCTGCTCACTAGGACACTTACTGTATTTTATGGAAAGAAGTGTTGCCCAATTCTAGAATTAAAAATAAAGCCAGTTGAGATCTTTAAACTAAATTTCTCATACTTTTTTATTTTGGAAATTATAATATTCCCCAAACTGGAAACAGCCCAAATGAGCATCAACATGTGCTGGGATGAACAAGCAGTGGTACAGCCATGCAGTGGAGCACTGCTTACAATACAAAGAAATAAACTACTGATACACAGCACGGATGGGTCCCCACATAATTATGGTGAATAAAAGAAGCCAGATGAAAAATAGTACAGACTGCATGACTCTACTTATATAAAACTCCAGAAAATGCAAACTAATCTATTGTGACAGAAAACAAATTAGTGTGGTGGAGGCAGACGGGAGTGATGACTGTAAACTAAAATGAATATCCTAAGTCCCCCAACTGACTGAATGGACCCCCTTTTGGCCAAGGGGACCCCAAAGAAACCTAAAAACTGAGTTCCTGGCCAAGACTGGACAGGAGTTCGGACATAACTCATTATACCCCCTCCTTTTTGGAGTTTAGCTATAACAACTGACCAGTATTAATAGTAAAATACAGATTATAAGACTGACAAAACAGATTCTTTGTGGGAATAAGATACTAAATTATAAACAGGACCTAAGGCCATGCCAAACAAGCGTGAAGTCACACCTGCAGGCCATCAATTTGCTTAACAGGTCATTTTGACCCAGTATATTGGGGCTTGTTCTAAGATTAGCAGATGTCTTTATCTTAAATTAAATATTCCTTTCTGCTAACTTCAAGACAAAATTTAGACAAAATTTTGTTCTTTTAACCAACTACGAATTAAGGAATCTCTGAATCCACTTATGACCTGTAAGTCCCTGTTTCAAGATATACTGTTTTTGGGCCAAATTAATGTATGCTTTCCATAAATTGATTTATGTCTTTGCTTATAACTCCTGCCTCCCTGAATGTATAAGACCAAACTGTAATTTGACTGCCTGGGGGACACTTACTCAAGGCCTCTTGGGTTTGTGTTTCCCTGGGATACAGTCACCCACATTGACTAAGAATAAATATCTTTAAAATATTTTACATAGTTTGTGTTTTCCATTAACATTACAAAGGGGCATGAGAGGGTATTGGACATGTTCACTATCTTGATTGCAACAATGGTGTCACAGGTTATATATGTGTCAAAACTTCAATTTAGCATTCTAGAGGGGAAGGGCATGCCTCTAATCCTCGCTTGGGTGAGGCAAAGACATAGTAACCAAAATGTACCCTCATAATATCCTGAAATAAAAATAAAAGTAAAAAACCCAAAAAACTTCAATTTGTACATTTTAAATATGTGTAGCTATCATATATATATATATATATATATTTTTTTTTTTTTTTTTTTTTGAGACAGAGTCTCGCTTTGTTGCCCAGGCTAGAGTGAGTGCCATGGCGTCAGCCTAGTTCATAGCACCCTCAAACTCCTGGGCTCAAGCAATTCTGCCACCTCAGCCTCCAAGTAGCTGGGACTACAGTCATGGGCCACCATGCCAGGCTAATTTTTTCCATATATATTAGTTGGTCAATTAATTTCTTTCTATTTATAGTAGAGACGGGGTCTCGCGCTTGCTCAGGCTGGTTCTGAACTCCTGCTCTGGAGCAATTCACCTGCCTCAGCCTCTCAGAGTGCTAGGATTACAGGTGTGAGCCACCGTGCCCGGCCAGCTATTATATATTAATTATACTTTAATAAAGCTGTTAAAATGTTGGTCTGAAAATTAACTATATTATTGAATCATTGATAATTAGCAAATAGAACAAAACTATGAAAAAATATCCTCTTAAATTTCAATTTAGTCAACTTGGATCTATTAGAGATTTAAAAAGCAGGTCTCTTATAATTGTGACTTAAATCCCTGAAGTCAGTTGTAATGTAATAGAATCTGACAAAATGGGCCCTGCTTTTACCACATTCTCTCTTAACCCATTGAAGTCCTCCTCATTTCAAATCCGTAGTGTTTCCAAGTGGTTAAAATTAAAGGGTCCCTGAGGAAGGATGATAATGGGATGATTCTTGGTGCTTCCCATGGAATCTCTCATAATCCTTTCCACTTCTCCGAAAGGTACCTATTCTTATTTTCACTTTGCCTAAGGAAACTGAGGGTCAGAGAGGGCAAGCGGTTAGCCCAAGGCCGCGCTTGGACGCAGCTGCAGCCAGGGTGGGGTGGGGGTCTGAGTTCAAGAATGCCTGCCCCTCCACCCCCAACCCAGTCCACGTAATTTTCCCTTTAAAGGCTTTCTCCCAATATCATTGCCATAATTAAGGCTAGCTACGTTCAAGGCCTCCCTGGAGTTAAAAGGCTGCCAGGAGGAAGGATGACGGAAGGTGGCTGTTCTCAGAGTGCTTTAAGGAACTAATTAAAAGTGCAGGTCTTTGTAGGGCGACGTGTGAAGGCGTGGGAGGACGCCGCGGTTAGCTTCAGCCCGGTAGTGCTGCTTGTCAATAAACGGGAACAAAGGGAGGGCGAGCTCCGGGCGCACGTGGGCTCGCTGGGGTCAGGGTCTCACTCCGCCAGAGGGCGGGTTTCCCCGGCGGACCCTGCAGCCAGCCCGCCACGCTCTCCGGAACCGAAAGCGAAGGCCGGCCCCGTCCCGCCCCGCCCTCCGGAACCCAAAGTGAAGGCCAGCCCCGGCCCTCCGGAACCGAAAGCGAAGGCCGGCTTCGCCCCCGCCCCGGCCCTCGGCCCTCCGGAACCCAAAGTGAAGGCCGGCCCCGTCCCCGGCCCCGTCCCGCCCCGCCCTCCGGAACCCAAAATGAAGGCCGCCCCCGCCCTCCGGAACCGAAAGCGAAGGCCGGCCCCGCCCCGTCCTTCCGGACCTCAAAGCTGAAAGCGAGGGCGGCCCCGCCCCCTCAGAACCCAAAGCGAAGGCCGGCCCCGTCCCCGGCCCCGCCCCCCGGAACCCAAAGTGAAGGCGCGCTCGGCCTTTCGGCGCGCGCTCGGCCTTTCGGCGCGCACTCGCCTGCTCCGGGCCTCAGCGGCGGCGGCACTGGAGCAGCCGTACGCTGCGGCCGGGGCTGGCCTGGCGGCATGGAGGGGCCCCCGGCGTCCGCGGCCGGGGACGTCTCCCTGCACAACTTCAGCGCCAGGCTGTGGGAGCAGCTCGTCCACTTCCACGTCATGCGGCTGACGGACTCGCTCTTCCTGTGGGTGGGCGCCACGCCGCACCTGCGCAACCTCGCCGTGGCCATGTGCAGCCGCTACGTGAGTGCCAGCCGGCCCGGCGCGGGGGCGGCGCGGGGGCGGCGCGCTACCGCAGGGGTCTCGGGCAGCTGGGTCCCCCGCTGTCTCTCGGACTCTCCCGAGCTCTTCCTGTGCTGTCGCAGGGAGCCTGCGGGTCCCTGTCCGCTCCGGGAAGCTGCGTGCGGCCCGGGAGGTTCGTGGCCCACCGGAGCCCCTCTCCCGGTGCGCAGCCGTCGGCTAACTCCTGCTCCGCGTCTCTGTAGGAGTCCTGGCGCCCCTTCTGGTCATACTCGCGCGCTGGGGGACGCCATCTGCCTCTTCGCTCTGGCGCCACCTCTGTTTTGACCAAACCGACGTTTATCTACCATCTCCAGTACAGACAAGTTTTTCCACAACTTGGAACTTCTGCGTCTCCGCGTAGGTCTGCTAGGCATCTCTCACCAGGCACATTCAGGAACAGACTTCTGTTCTCTCCCCCAACAGCCCCTCACACCCAGCCCAGCTCTGTAACGTTCCTCCGTTCTCCTGGGTGCTCACGGTCAGAGCCTGGCAGTCATCCTCAGTTCCTCTTTCTCTCAGGCTCCACGTGCCTAATGTCAGCGAGCCTGTAGGCACTGCTGCCTTGAAAGCATACAAGGATCCAGACCCTTCACCCCCTTCACCCTGCCACCCTGGGCCAAGCCTTCAACCTTATATCTCTCCTCTACCTATTTCCCCTTTTGCAACCTGTATTAGTTTCCTAGGGCTGCTGTAACAAAGTGCCACAAACTGGGTGGCTCAAAACAACTGAGATTTATTCTCTCACAGTTCTATAGGCCTGAAGTCTGAAATCAAGGTGTTGGCTGGCTTTGTTCCTTCTGGAGGCCCTGAAGGGGAAACCATCCCGAGCGTCTCTCCTGGCTTCTGATGGTTGCTGGCAGTCCTTGGTGGGCCTTGGCTTGTAGATGCATCTCTCTAGTCGCTGCTCGCGACATCACTTGGCTGTCTTCTCCCTGTGTGTCTGTGTCTCCTCTCTTTTTTAAAATTTTATTTATTTATTTTTGGGCTAGTCAAGTGGAGCAGTGGGAGTGGAGATGGAACAGAGAACTTTATAACTGGTTGTGGTCTATCAGTTGTAAACGCCACTTGGACCAGCCTCTCCTCTTCTTAAAGGATGTTAGTTGTATTAGATTAAGGGCCCACCCTACTTCAGTATGACCTTATCCTACATCTTAATTACCTGTGCGAAGACCCTGTTTCCAAACAAGGTCATGTTCACAGGTAGCCAGGGGTTAGGACTTCAACATATCTTTTTGGGGGACATAATTCAACCCACACACTACCTTATAACCAGGGCAGCAGAGTGATAGTTTTAGGATGAAGTTAGATATTTTCGTTCCTCTGCTCAAAACCTGTCACGAGATGAACTGAGAGCACAATCTCGAGACACTGCAGTGACCTCCCAGGTCCTGTTGCCCCTGCACATTCCTCACTGCTTACTGACGGCAGTGCTGGCCTCCTGGCAGCTGTAGCACTTGCACTGTGCCGTTGTGTTTTCCGTGGGTTCTACTGTGAGGTTTGTCTGTTTGATAACCCTGACAAACTGCCCGTTAAGTCCTTCTTGAACGAATGAGTGAGGCCCTTTCACTGAGGGCTACTCTGAAGCTAGTCAGGCAGTGAGGACTGAGGGCACCGGGGACGGTGGGAAGTCATGTGGTGAGTCCTATTTGTGCACAGCAGCACTGGAAATGCCTAGGGAAGGAGACAGCATCTTTTTTTTCTCTTTTCTGGAGGGTCCCAGCCTGTGGGCAGATGGCAATTCCAGGCCTTTTGTTGGAGGAAGGAGGTGACCTGGGGGACCAGGGTGATGGGCAGGGCCATTGCTCTAGAGCCACCTCACATTCCGTCTTTCCTCATCTAGTAATAGCCAGTGCTGAGGGCTCTGGGCCGCCTGGAGTCAGGGCCGTGCACTAGGAAGACTTGGAGTCGCTTCCTTGAACTCCTTTCAGGCCCATTGTGTGGAGCTGGTCTGGACTAGTAAGTTAGTAAGTAAGCAAGCTCCTCATTGGACTGCTTTGGTGGTCTGACCACATCGTGGTCACAGCTCCCAGTGGGCTGTGTTTTCTCAACTGGAAAGTCACACTGTACCAAGATCAGGCAGGAAAAGGGACAGGAGCCAATCTCTGTTACCTGATCTGTCAGAAGTCCAGTCCCACTGCCTGGCCATATCGTGTGGCTGGATGTTCCCTCCAGAGGCAGAAGGCCAAGTTGGTTGGGAAAAGAGGTGCAGCCTTAGCTTCAGGCAGGAAACCCAAGGTTCCTGTGGCCTGTGTGTAGGCCTCCGTCTACTTTTGTATTAATAATAAAGTTTTACTGGAACACAGCCATGCCTGTCCATGCAGGCAGAGTCTGTGGCAGCTTTTGCACTTTGGTGGCAGGGTTGAACAGTTGTAATAGACACTTTATGGTCCATAAAGCCTGAATTATTTACTATCTGGCTCTTCCCAGGAAGATTGCCAGCCTGTGTGTGGAGAATGGCACCAAAGGGTCTGTGAGGGCTCTTCCCTCCCCGTCTCCTAAACCTGCGCATGTATGACAGGACCATAGAGATCAGAAACCACAAAACCCTGCTGCCCCTCTAGCCAGCCTGCCTTGGGTTGAGCAGGGATTTTTGGTGCCCAGAGAGGCTGCAGGATTAGATGATTAGATAATGGTAAGTACCACCATCTTGAGGGAGGCTGGTCTGGGACCTGGGCTCCTGCCTGCTTGAACATCCTGGGCCTGCTGTGGGGGTGGAAGGTGGTGCTCCAGCTGCAGTGGAGCCATCTGGGCATGTGTCTGCTGGGAGACCAGAGTCTAGTGTGATTTGGGAAGTAGTGAACTATTAAGAAGGATAGGCCGGGCGCTGTGGCTCACGCCTGTAATCCTAGCTCTTGGGAGGCCGAGGCGGGCGGATTGCTCAAGGTCAGGAGTTCAAAACCAGCCTGAGTAAGAGCGAGACCCCGTCTCTACTATAAAAATAGAAAGAAATTAATTGGCCAACTGATATATATATAAAAAAAAATTAGCCGGGCATGGTGGCGCATGCCTGTAGTCCCAGCTACCCGGGAGGCTGAGGCAGAAGGATCACTCGAGCCCAGGAGTTTGAGGTTGCTGTGAGCTAGGCTGACGCCACGGCACTCACTCTAGCCTGGGCAACAAAGCGAGACTCTGTCTCAAAAAAAAAAAAAAAAAAAAAAAGAAGGATAATATGATGGGGTTAAAAATTTTATTTTTGGTGGAAAAGGGCAACCTCGGTAAGGTATATTTTCTTTTTCCAGAAGGTTTATCTGTAAATATTATGACTGTACAGCTAAATGTTGAACTTGGAATCTGTAAGCAGCAGGTTCATGAGTTAAGGTCATATTTTTGTATCTTTTTCAACAAAAGAGCGTGCAGTTAATGCTTTCATCTTTCTCCTGTGTTTTTTTGATCTCCTGTCTTTTATAGACCTGAACAGATTCTGTCTTGCCTGGAAGTGGCTTTGAACCCTTAGGAGATGAGGAGCAGCTCCTTTGGTCTGTTTGGCACACAGCAAGCATGTGTTCAGTTCACTAGTCTCCGCCAGGACAGGATAGGAAGGACCAAACCCTAGAGCCTCTGTCGCTCTGTAAACCTTGCCACTTCTTGAGACTCCCAGCCCCTGTACCCAGGCTGTTTCTCCTAGAAGTCTGCTGTTTTGATAAAAGCAATTTAGGCCATATTACAAGTTAGTGGGTTTTTCCCTTTTAAGCTAGGCCTTTTTAATGGTGAAAGAGATCACTTCCAAAGTCATTGGGAGTAAGATTACTTCCAGATTTCAAAAGTGCCCCATTTATTTATCTTAACATCATTTATACTGCTTGTTTCCTTTTATTGCTTCTTACCTGAAGTGAGATTAGCCAAGTGTACTCAGAAATTGTTGTTTTCACTATTTGGATGCTGGTGACTGGTGCCCTTTCTCAAAGTCACAGGGCACTTATTGACCTTAAACCACCCAGATTAGCCTGCAGGAGACTGGAGCTGTGTGTTCTTCCACAGCGGAGATGAGGAGACCTGGCGTCCTGCCTTGGCTGTGGCTTCCTCGAGGCCCGAGGCACACGGGACCCTGGGATTTGCTGTCTTTTTCTGTGGCTGTAATGATCTTGTTTGCTTCCCTTGGCTGTATGTTGCCCTTCGGCATGCTTTGGAGTTTCCAACACCAAAATGAGGCCTTTATGTGAAATCAGCCTTAAAACTTATTAACAGCACTGTGGTTCCAGCGTCAGGTGACATCTATTTGTCTGTCCTAACTATACTGACCTTATATGCATTTGGGGGTCCACCTGCTTGGCTGTTGGCAGATGCCAGCCCCTCTTCCCTTTAGCACCTATGTCTGCCCTCTCAGGACCTGCCACTGCCACCCTTATGAAGCATCAGAAGGTCAGCAGTGTGGCCGGCCCACTCCAGGAGGAGAAGCCACAGTGTACTCTTTGTTTTTCTTTCAGGACTCCATCCCCGTGTCCACCTCCCTCCTTGGAGACACTTCTGACACGACTTCTACTGGCCTTGCCCAGCGCCTAGGTATGTACCTGCGGCCAGCCAGGGAGCCCCACTGTATAATGGATACATGAGGCAAGTCACTTCGGAAGCAAAGACTTTATATCAAGTACAGTCACCTCATTACTGCTGGGAAGCACAGAACTTTGCTAACTGTGCCTTTATAGGGGCACATCTGTGCTCACCTGTCACCCCTGCTGTCTCAGGGCCTGCATGTTTCCAAAGGACTCCCACATAATCCCTGGCTGTGTCCTTGAGTCAGTGAGCTGATTTAGTTCCCTCCTGTAGGTGCATCACCTCCTCATGGGAGGAGGGAGTGAGTGATGCCTGTAGCACCCCGTGGGATGTGGCTCAGGGTAGCCTCCCAGGGACTTGGTGCAGCCTGTGGAGCAGGTGTCACCACTGTGCGGGAAGGACTGCTTTTCAGTCACAGTGTGACACCCTTCAGGGCTTGCAGGGGAGACTGGCCTGGTCTGTGAGTGTGGCGTAGATTGGGTGTTAAACAAAGACCATGAGGTTGAAGGCTTCACCCTTCTCACACTCCCACACACACTTCCTATAAATATGCAGGTGAGCAGGTAAGGATGGCACATGTTCTGCCTTCCCCAGCCCCATGTGCCCATGGCCAGTATTTGGATGCCCTGAGACCACGAGCAGGAAGGTGCCCCTGCTTCCTGCCCAGTCCTGTTCCCCAGTGGTCCCAGCTGCCTCCATTCTGCAGTCAGTCACTGGGCAGGGGACGTTCCTGATCCCCAACAAGCAGGAATCTCTGTCTCAGGCACACGGCAGAGGAGGGACACCAGCCAGCACAGAGGTCAGGGTTTTAGGGAGTTGCAGGGTACTTTTTCTCTACCCTGGAGTTAAGAGATACCTGACTAGTAAGTTATTTTGGTGACTTTTTATTAGGAAGAAATTTTAAATTTACAGAAAAGTTGCAAAGAATATATAAAGAATTCCTGTTTAGCCTTTACCCAGATCTCCCAGTTTTTTTCCCTTTGTGTTTGTATCATTTTTTTTTCCTGAACCACAGGAAAGTAAGTTGAAGACATGGTGCTCCTTTGTTTCTAAGTGTGACACTGTGTGATTGTGAGTGTGTGAGGGTAACACACTTGTACCTGACAGGTTACTGCGTGCTCACGCCTGGTCAGATGAAGGCGCTGGGCAGCGTTCGTGTCTATGGAGGCAGAACTCGGGGTGGGCTTGCTGAAACACTCTCTAGTAGAGAAGGATGGTGCGAGCTTGTCTGGCAGGTCATGAGTAGGTTTTATACCAGTAAGGGACAGTAGGCTCCAGAACGTCTGTAAGGTGGAGACCTCCTACCAGTTTGCGTGCAGAAGGTGAGCGGTTCTCAGTGGCTGATGTCAGTGGTGTGTGGTGGCTGTGGCATCTCTGCAGGGACTGGGGATGCACAGCGCTCGCATCAAGAAGGGATCCAGCAAAGTCCTGTGCTGTGCCAGTTGTCTCGAGCCTGGTTGTGGGCCCTATAGTTGAAAATGGTTTATTAATGCTCTATAGTGAAAGGGGAGAGGTGTCCTGAAATACTGTCTTAGGCAGAAGATGAAAGCAAGATGGAAAAGAGAAGGCCTGGGAGCAGTGCAGGCTTTGGTGTGGATGAGGGAACCCGGCCACATGTGGCTCTGCAGGGCAGAGCTGGGTCTGTGGGAGCTGATGCCGGTAGACACAGCTTTGTTCCCTGCAAATCCTATCTTAGCAATTAGAGCGAATTGTAGCGGGTCCCCTTGGGGGAGAGGGGACCCTCCTGCCCCTCAGAGAGGGCAGGGTGTGACTTGACAGTCTCCTCTCAGCCAGTCTTGGCAAGTCCCAGTGTGAGGTGGGGAACCTGTGGCCTTGGGGCCACATGTGGTCTTCTGGATCCTTGAGTGTAGCCTTTTGACCAAATCCAAATTTTACAGAAAAAATCCTTTTAATAAAGGGTTAATTCATATAGCTGAAAAACATGTCTCTGAGATTCTATATACCTTTCCTTGATTAACAAATGAAGCCCAAAGAGGTTTCTGAGCCACGGCAGGACCTGGCCCGCTCCCTGGAGCCACTCTGCTCCCCACAGTTCTTGGTGGGACTACAGGTAAGACAGCAGCAACCAGGATGTATTGTCACCTGCATGGAATCCAGTGACATGTGTGTTCTAAACCAGCCTTTACTGCTGGTGCAGGTAGCCTGGTGTGCCCAGCCTTACTGTACCGCCCTTCTGCATTTTGGTTAAGAGGGTTGTGGTCCTGTGATGTCAGGGGGGCCGGGGATCCCTGCACAGTGAGCTGCTTTAGGATTTCTGCCCACTTGTCCTCGGGACTTCCTCTTGCCCTTCAGATTCGGGGCATATGACTCTGTCTGAGTTTTGCAACTTTGACCAATGCACCTCAACTATTTATTGATTCTATAGAAAGGGGCTAAAAATGAATTCAATATCAGAAAATTCACACATGTATGTAGCATCTACATGTGTACATGTGTATGTGTATGTAATATATGTAAATGCATAGAAATACAGGATTGCCTTTGGGCGGGAAGTGGAATTGGTAGTGTTTTTAATTTTTAATTTAATTAAAAATTAAAATTTTTAATTTTAAAAATTAAAAAAATAGAAACACCAAAAAAACCCTCTACGTGGAGCAGCGGTTCTTAGACTTTCGTGTGTGGGGCACCAGGTGGGCTTGTTAACACGGATTGCTGCCTGAACCCCCCCCCCCACTTCCTGATTCAGGAAGTCTGGAGGGGCCTAAGGGTCTGCATCTCTAACAGGCTGCAGGTGGTGCCACTGCCATGGGGACCATACTTAAGAACCACTGTCTGGAGATGAGGACAGAGTCAGCAGCTGTCTTAAGAATCAAAAATTGGAACTTCCTTCTCTTCCCACAATCCCATTCTCTTTTTCCAGGCATTTCCCAGCCATAGGTCAGTGTGAGGAACATAGGACCTGCAACATTGCCGTCATGGCTGTGTCAATGTGTTTTCTCTTTTTAGCCAGGAAGACCAACAAACAGGTGTTTGTCAGCTATAACCTTCAAAACACAGACAGTAACTTCGCATTACTTGTAGAAAACAGGATCAAAGAAGAAATGGAGACTTTTCCGGAAAAGTTCTAGCTGAGTGGCAAAAGTGAGAATTTGTAACTTATGTACAATATACATTTAAATAAATGGATTGGATTTCATTTTGCCATCAGCTTGCGTTCATATTTTGTTTTTAAAGGGTTGCTCTTGAGTTTTCCTTCTCACCAGCCCGTGGGCCAGAAGGCCCTTGTTGTTCACCTGGGACCGGAGGAAGCCACGTGGGCAGTGCACATGCCCTCATTTGACTGTCAGTGATAGAGAAAAGTGATGGAAATGGGATTTTGTTGGGATTGAAGGCTATAATCTAGTAATCCAAGAGTTCAAATCAGTCATGACTCTGTTATATACATTCCCAGTTAGAATTAAGGCAATAAGTCTTCGTAAGTATGCTTTTGGTTTGGGTATGTGTTCCTGAGGCTTCTGTCTGCCTTGTGAATTGATGCATTTATTTCCTTCCCATTTCAGCTAAACTCTTCCTGCTGTGTTCTCCCTTGGGGAAACTTGCGGGCCCACCCTATGCTGCTCACTACATTGTGCTCTTGGTGAAGTCTCAAACCTCTCTGGGCCCTGTGTCCTCATCTATGAGATGGGAATAATCCCCATCTTGATGGGTTCTTGTTAGGATTAAGTGTATAGAAATGCTTTGCAAACTCTAAGTGCCATGGCAGTTAGATGTCAATTATAGCTTTATCTCCTTGGTTTTTATGGATTCAAAGGCTTCACGTCCTTCTTGCTCTTTCTGTTATCATTTCATTATATTCCCTTCACCTTTCTCTTTTCTCCCAAGTCCCAAGTATCTCAGGTACCTGTTTGGGTCATTTGTAATCCTTAGCCTTTTTCCTTCTACCACGTGAAGTGGATTCTAATCTTGGCCCTTCCCCAGAGGTTCATAGGGTCTGGCTTTGATAGGGTTGAAAAGCTCTCCCAGTGCTTCTCTGCGTAGGCAAGATTGAGGACCACTGGCAAAGAACTTTCTAGGCTTTGGGGTCCATCCAACCCTTTAGTTGCTGGAGACAGATAGTTTAGGGCCCTGAAACATGTTTCTGCAGTGGCAGAAGTCTTGGGTGGAGGCAGGCGTGGCGCTGAAGGTGACGCTGGCTAGACGCAGGGGCCTTCAGAGGGCACGGCTGGGTCCCAGGCGCTGCCTGCCTTTGCAGACGTCCCACAGAGGAGGACTCGCCTGCACGATCGCAGCTCACAAAGCGGAGTGGACACCCTTCTCGGAACAGAATAGTAAGTGACACAAAATCAGGGCTATGAAGAGGAGTTTGGTATAAATACTTTATTAAAGAAATATTGTCTTTTGGTTAAAAAATACTACATTAGAGAAGAGGGTTTTGGGTAGTCAGTTTTTCCTCACAGAGTCACAGTGTAAGATACTCATTTCTTGACCTCTAGGAACCTTCCGGCCTCGGATCAGCAGAACACAAGTGAACAAGAGAAAAACTCTTAATTTACTGGTGACCTTCCTTCCGCCTTTCAGGTGTTCTGAGGATGGCATTAGAGAAAGAGTTTGTGTTTGATCCAGTCTCTGCCTCTGACTAGCGTTACGACTAGGACTCTCACACAGAGTGGGAGCCCCCACCGCGCCGTCAGCCGAAGATGCAGCCTACAGAGGCAGGGGAAGCAGTGACGCGGCAAGGTCTGAATGAACATGGAGGACTTTTATTACACGTCACGGTAGTGAATGCCCTTCATTGGATACCATCAGGTGAGGTAGGGAAGACATTCCAGAGGAAATCTGTTAATGGGGCAACATTTTTATTTCTGTACATTTACATACAAATTTTCCCCAAAGGTACAACAGATGCGACACCATGCAGACACACAGCTGTGAACGACAGCTCAGAACGCAGTGTAAGCTTGTGCTATGAACGAGCACCGTCAGAGGAGTCCCTTCGATGCGTACAGTAACAGGGTTCTTCTAGTAAAACCTCAAACGGTTGGGTTGCAGAGAGGACAGAGGGAGGGAAGTACTCCCGCCAGACGTAACACGCCATACTGCTCTTCTAAAACACATAGTACATTAAAGTGAGGTGGTCTTTCTAAGATAAGAAGACAGAGTCGAGTGTGGCCCCCAGCACGTGTGTGGCCTAGGGCTGGGTGATGTGATGTCACACTTATGGCACTTCCAGTTCAGCACTTCTGTTTGGCCCAGGAAGTCATAGTGTCTGAGTGCAATACTTTCCTTGCACGAGACCAGACAAGCTTACCAGCCCCTGTTCTCCAGTTGCAGGTGATTTTACTCTTAGAAGACAAAAACATTTAAAACTTTTTCCTAATTGTCTTGGGTGCTAATAATTAAGGTACTTTATAAGAGTAACTGATTTCTGGAAAAAAATAAAATGAACAAATATCCAGCTCTGTCTCAGGTGTTCACATTTGTTCATAACTTTTACTGAGAAGTCACAGTCCCCTGACAGGTTAGGTTAGCAGGATGCAGGGGCAGGTGGAGGGAAGTAGCAGGGAGTACACAGCTTTCTGTGTTTCCCTGGGGGTGGGAGGGCTGAGCTGAAGCAGCAGGAGCCTGAGAAGTGTCTCCCTACTGACCATGAAGGAGGTGCGACCGAGGGGCTCAAACTCAACAGACTGGTACCAGGGGCCCGGTGGCCATAGCAACCTCCCCCTGCCAGGAGCCAGGTGGCCTGGATGTGTGTCAGGCCTGGGTGTGCCTTGCTCCCTTGGTACTAGATTTCATGGGGCTCTGCCCACATTTTCTGCTTTGGCTACATTTCATAAAGGTGTTCCTCAAGAGCTTCAGATATCCCTAAGCCAAGGCAGCAACAGAACAGGAGCAGGCTGCCCTGAGAGCTGGGACCTGCGTGTGGCCGGGAGATATCACCTGCCAGCCGTTGGCAAGTTGGCCTCACATCTGGTAGACTTTGCTCCCAAGAGCCCAGGCCTCAAAGCTAGCCTCTCTTCTAGTCATTGAGGTTAGTCCTGATTGCGGATGGGATAAGCAGTGTTTTTATTGTTGTCGTTTGAGGTGGAGATCAGAGACTGGACCAGAAGTTTGAGTGTTGTGCCTTGCCTGCACCTTCCTAGGATTTCTGGCAGCACTCTACAGTGTCGATACATTTCTTTGTAAAGGTCTACACGACCAGTATGAGACTGCTCACAACTTGCATTACTTAACAAGTCCTGCAGTACAGTAGGTGGGTTGCAGGGTAGCCTCATGCTAGGGGGATGGGTGCAGACATGCACCTGTCCAGGTGCAGGCTCAGGGGCCTCGCTCGCTCCTTCCCACCTTCTCAAAATGCCTACTGGCCTGGCCGCTGGATTTGTCCTATCTTGTACTTAATGGGTTTGCTGCCAAGTGGCTTTGTAGCAAGTACTCTAAAAAAGGTAAAAAGTATCTCACAAGTTTGGCACAAGAAGGCTGCATGGATCTAAAGAAAGGCCTTGCAAAGGTGAATGCAAACTAGCATTGAAACATGGAACAAAATTGACTTAAGAGACCAGGGAAGGTGAGGATGAGCTGGAGTTGGATCAGGTGGAGCTGGGGAGAGGCTGGCCAGAGAGCCTCCTTCGCGGGCACTGGGCTTTGCGCAGGGCTCCGATATCCCAGGTGTTGGTGGACAAGACAGCGTGGTTCAGCTGCTGGAGACACACTTGGCTGTGGGTGCGCTTGCCCTTACAGTGCCTTTAGGCGTCAGTGGGCTCCCACTGGCGTGCGGACCAGATGTGGAGGAGAGGCAGGTGGGGCGCTGCAAGGGGAGACGGTCAGCCCCTTTCCTGGCCCTTATGAATTCTAGCAACTCTCGCCTAATTGCCTCGCCCAAGCCTGAGACAGCGGTTTCCTGGAAGGATACAACCCACAGCAAAGATGCTCTTCGGAAGGCGAGGTGGACAGTTCTCGTAAGAGGCCAGGTTGTCCAGGAAAGCTGCTGCCTGACTGCTGCAGAGTGGTGCCTGCCGCACCAGCGAGGCTTGTTTCTTGGTGGCCCTGAGTGTCCTACAAGTTTCCTCTGAAAATAGCAAGAGGAAACCTTTGCTGTCTGGGGCAAAATGAGGAACACCATGAAAACGCTTGGAGAGTGGGCCAAGGGAGGCGTTGAACTTTGGTGAGTTATTGCTTTCTCTTGGTTTGCCGTGATGCTTTCAGGAGGCTGGAGGTCATGTGGACTCACCTGTGAGCAATGTCCACTCCTTGCCCCAAGCCCCAGCTCTGTGCTGAGCGAGTGACAGGAAGCAAGGAGCAGACTGAGGAAGGCGTGGGGGACCAGCGCCCGCAGGTGCCCCCTGGCGTGACGTCGGTGACGTCAGTGGTAAGAGCGACAGCCGTCCAAGCTGGTGATCTCCGTGGTGTGTGCTCAAAATGTGGGTGACGGGCCGTGTTTGGGAGAGCAGCCCTCCCTCCTGTGGACTGGCCTCAGTCACCGCTGTGAGTTATTTTCCTGTTGTTGTTCGGAAAGTAGCCACATTTTCAAGTAGTGCTGGCAAAAAAGCAGACTGTGAAAGAGGGGACTTTTCTGCTGGAGCCAAATGTGGGAAAGAGTATTAATAAGAATGAACACGTCTCAGACCTCAGCACATGTGCTAGTTGTGTATTTAACGAAGCAAACCTGGTGTCAGCAAGCTGTGGCGATGTCACCACTGATCATTTAAGATTCTGGTGAGATGTTTCAGCTTTTCCCCAAGAGTTTCCAGCATCAAGGTACAAAAGGATGATCCAGAGGAAAAACTAAGCTGGTTTTAATGATATCTGTGAGCGGCTTTCCCTCAACACAGACCAGAAGCTCTTACTGTATAAACAGAAAGAAAGAAAGACTTTAAAAAACCGTACACAGACTCTCGAAAAACCTAGTTCATTTACATTCTGCTCTGTCTAAAATGGGGTTCCAGAGACGCTCCTTGATAGCGCCCTGTCTCTGCGCAGGCGGGCAGCCTGGGCGGGCTCCAGGCGGCGAGGTGACGTCTGGCTCCCGGGTGGCGGGCAAGGAGTAGCGTCCCACCTCAAGGGAGGAGACCGGCCACTGCGACGGCCACTTCCAGCATGTCCCCTGGAGTGACTGCCTCTTGTTTCCGAAGGAGGTGGTTCCACTCTGATCAGCGAGAGGGAAAGAGAATAAAGTGCTTCTCGTAAAAATGACCAAAATAAATACAAATATTTAATGGCAGAAAAGAAAGTCATTGAAGGATTATTTCCAAAGAGTTTGTCTCCTCAAACCCATGCTTTCTTGGACTTTTAGAAAGACAGAATTTCCCCACACCAGTTGAAAGTCGCGATTGGCTGGCGGTGGCTGCAGAGCTGGACTTTCCCACCCGGCCACCGTTCGGTCCCTGGTCTGTAAACCTGTGCCCAAACTGCCCCAAACCGTCGAGCCCTGGGGGCTCCTGCAGGATGGTGTCACCAGCTACATGGCCTTCATGCCGTTGGCCGTGGCGCCCTCGGGCAGCCCGTCGCCCGCCATGGCCGCGTCGTGGAGGCCGGAGTAGTCTTTGAGCTCGGCATTGGTGAGCAGCAGCGGCTGTTCGCCCTTCTTGTGAGGCAGCAGCGGCTGCCGCGTGTAGTGCTCCCCGTTGGAGATGTTCTCGGGCAGGTTCTGGTCCCTGCTCTCAGGCAGCAGGAGGATGCAGATGATGCAGATGAGCGTGCAGCAGGCAAAGATGATGTGGTGCAGGAAGTAGCCTTTCTGGTTGTGCAGCTCGATGATGGGCGCCGTCAGCATGCCGAAGCCTGCGCTGGCCAGCACCAGCCCCAGGCCGCCGCACCTGCAGGAGGAAGCACAGCGCACAGGGTCACGCTTTTTGGGTCCACTCTGGCATGCAGAGCCCCACCCTGGAGGGCTGGGGAAGTTCACGTGAGACTGGGAAAGCCCCCCCCATCCCGGGCCCCAGCGCACGCCCCATCTCAGATGTCTCAAACTGAGCACCAAAGGAGGGAAGAAAAGCTTCATCTTTCCCTGCTACCCTCCTTTTAATAAAAGGATTTGTTCTGCAAAATTTGCTGTTGAAAGGCTGCACTTAAAGACCTAGAAGGCCACATTTCACCTTAAGGCCGCAGGTCCCCTCCCCCCAAGGGTATTTAAGACACATCAGC